TCCCCCTCAACCCCCTATAAGAACAGCCTCGGACTCTGAGTCAGTTGCCTCTCTAAGCTATTTTGCTTCGGGAGTGTCGTCTGGCCAGACTAATAAAGGTCTGTTTTATTTTCCAACGTGTCCGGTGTGTTCCTTCCCAGGTGCTCTTCGCTGCAGTCAGCTCCTCGGAGCGTTTGGTAAGGCCCTCGGTCTTACAGGAAGATCACTTGTTTCATTTGTAATAAAATCAAAATTGAATTTAATAAATATCTACTGAATGTCTTTATGCCATTCTAAATAAATGTGACCCATTAGACTTCTGAAATATTTAAAACAGCATATAGTGGAAAGAAAGAGAAAGAGAGTAAGAAATAAAAAGCACCAACAAACTAGGATGACCCCTAGTCAATTGTAACCTAAATCACCTGAATCCAGGGCAGAATTAAGCGAGTTCCCTTAAAGGGACACTCCCTGGTTTATGACTTCTCAGGTCCAGGTGGAGACACGCGTCTCAATCCATCTCGAACCACAGGACAAACGTTTCCGGGCCTCTCAAGGAGCAGGAAGGCAGGCAGGGCAGCAGCTCCTCCCGGCGTCGGAGCGGTGTTAGCATCGCCAGCTGGGCCGCGGCCACTGAAGATAGAGGCCCCAGGCCCCAGCGTGGGGGCAGGGAAGAAAGTTGTGTGGTACAAGAGAGTTTCAGGAAACCGAAACCTAGGCGGCCGGTGTGGGCGCCAGTCCCCCCGAGGCGTAGGCACCGCCGGGCGAGCGGATTCCTGAGCAAGAACTGCAGCAGCAATAGGTGAGCGAGCTGGGTTCTCTTCTGTCTGGCCGCAACCCCAAAGCCCAGGACGACCTGCCTGGGTCTCAGGAGGGGGTTGTGCCCTAGGCCTACAGTTTTCCTTTGCTCTGCGGGTGGAGAATGCGGGGTGGAGGTTGGAGACAGGGCTCCAAGAGCCCCAGGGAAGTGTCAGGAAGAGGCGCACGGGCTGAGGAAGGCGTCCTAGCTCTTGCAGCCAAACACCTGGCCCGCTGCAGAAAGACCCCCAGCGCTCTACTCAGCTACCCCAGAAACTTTCTAAAGACGGGGTGTCCAGCCTGAAAGATCCCCCAAGGCTTTGCTTAGCTACACTGCTCCACAGCTCGCAGGGCAGCCCTGCGTGGTCAGAAGCTGGGCTCTCGACGGGGTAGCCGTGTAGTGAGATATTAGAAGGAACGACTAATAAACTGCTTTCACTGAACAGTAAGTATTGATTGGAATTATCGTTGTAACCCAAACTGTGCTCGGGACTGCAGAATGCCAGAGGTGGGGGAAATGGTGCAGTGACTGAGGCCACCAGAGTTGAGCTGTTGAGTTTGAATCCTGCCTCCACTGCTTCACATCCTTGGACTCAGACCTGGATGCATCAAAGTTCCCTTCAGTTGCTTCACCTACTAAATTGTGTAGCTATTACAAGAATTGTAAGAGTTAAAGCAGCGTATTATGTGCATTCACATAATTTGTTACAGCAGTACCGGCACAGCAGAAAGTACTTGATAAAAGTTAGCTTTAGTCGCTTGGTCCCGGAGCGGCGCAGCCGCAGGGAGGAGGGGGTGGGTGGGGTGGGGTAATCTGGGGTAATCTGCAGAGCAGGCGGAGACGGGGACGCGTGCGGTCTCGGCTCAGGATCCCCCCCGCCCGCCCTGCCTCGCCTCCGCCTGGCCGGGTTAGCCTAGGGCTGAGGGGACCTCAGCTGAGAACGCGGGGCAAGGGATCCCTGGGGCTGCCCGGGAGAGTGACCGCGGCTGTTGCCTTGTGTTTTGGCAAGGCGTTTACTTTATTACCTTTTCTCCTATTCTGGGGAGCACAGCCCTGTTTCTAGATCCCGGAGGTGCTAGTGTGCCCCTTCTCTGCAGTTCTGAACATCTGGGCGGCGCACCTCCTTACTTGAGAAGCTCCAGCGCTGCTGAAATTTTTTTTCTCAGTTTCTAAGTCCCCTCAAACTGAGTGTGTTCCCCCCTTCCCTGGCTTCCTCCAAACTGGGAGCGCAGTCTTTCAAACCTCCAGTCAAAATACTTCCTTTCCAATTTAGGGATTCTCCCATTAACAGATCCCTCCCATGTGAGGTCCAGTAACCAAAGTTTGTGGATACTTTCTTCCCCACAATGCCAAGGAAGAACGTCCTTTCCAGGCTCCAAATCTGAGGACGTGTTTCCAGGATTTCATAAATCTAAAAGGCACTTTCTTTTTCCAGCCTTCAAATCTGAAATCTACTAATAATGAAGTCCAAATCTTGACATTTGTGGGCACATATTTCCATTTCACAAATGAAGCTCATTGCCTTATTTTGGCTTTTCTTTGTTTTTTTTTTTTTTTTTTTTGAGGCTGCCCTGCAACCCATGATCCTCCTGTCTCAGCCTCCATCCAAAGGCTGGGTTTGCAGGAATGGGCCACCAGCCTACTAAGTCAGTGTCCTTTTCCAGTTACTCCATCCTTGAGATTGCATCTTTTCATGAGTTCCCCAAACTACCTTACACATCCTTGAGGAAGGTGGACTTTCCTACCTGAGAGTGTATTTATTTCCTGCTCCCATTAAATGTACTAAATGCACCCTTTTTAGTATGAAATGCACAACTCTAGGAGTGCACATACCCACCTTCCTGTTGCTTGAATTTGGGAGGAGACCCTTCTCTTGAGCAGCTTGTTACCGGGTGGTGGGTGAATGGTTCACTGTTCTTGGATGTACATTCCTGTGCTTTGCAGCTTTTCTGCTATTCAAGATGTTTTCATTCTTCAGTTTCCTTCCCACCTTGGAACTTCATTCCCCTTCAGCTGCTCTTCCAGTTCTGCCAGTTCATGCATTTCCTCTTCTTTCCTATAGTGAGTGCTTGTCTGTCTTTAGTACAGCACTTTCCTTCTGTTTTTTTGTGAGCCCACTTCATAGTTACACCTCCTGAACACCTGCCCTCAGCATCCCTCTCCTAAAGGAGTACATGCAGCCTTTCATATGTCCACTTTATCTTCTCCAAACAAGAGCTGTCTCTCTTTTTTAAAATAGCAAAACATTCATTGGTACATTTTAGGCACTTAAAATGCCAACACTCATCTTAGGGAATTTGCACCTGTACATGGTACATCCCACCCCTTCCTTCCCATCTCCCCCTCCCCGCAAGCCCCTCCCCTCCCTATGTACAAAAGTTTGTTTCCATTTTTTCCTTCTGTTTTCACTTTTTTTCTTGTCCTTTCCTTCCTTCCTCCCTCCCTTGTTCCTCTTCCTATTTGAACATTTTCTTCCCATTTCCCAGTATCTATTATACATTTTAGTCCTTATTTCCACTTCTGATTTCTCACACCAGACAAACAATGTGGTATTTAAATATGTGTGTCTGATTTATTTCACTTAAAAGTATGGTCTCGAGTTCATCCATTTAGTTATACATGTCTAAAGCCTATCCTTCTTTAAGGCGGAGTAGTACTCCATTGTATACAAAAAAAAATCTTTACTTTTTGTTTTGTTTTTGGTACCAGGGTTAAAACTCAGGACCTTTCGATTTTGAGGCAGGCACATTGCCACTGAGCTAAATCCCCAGCCCAAAAACATATCTTTATGCCTTCATCAATTGATGGGCATTTAGGTTGTTTCCAAGATTTAGCTATTACAAACTCTGCTGCTATAAACATGGGTGGGCATATATCACTGTGGTAGATGCTTTTAATTCAGGAAGATGCCAAGAAGGGGAATAGCAGGGTCAAATGGAACCTCTAGTTTTAGTTTTTTGAGGAATCTTCTAACCGATTTCCACAGCGGCCACACCAGTCTACACTCCCACCAACAGTGGAGAAGCATTCCTTTTTCCCCACAGCCCCTCCAGCTTTTATTGATTTCTTGATAGCCATTCTTTCTGGAGTGAATCTCTGCATTGTTTTAATTTGCATTTCACAAATGACCAGTGATGTTGAACATTTTTTCATATATTTATTTGCTGTTTCTACTTCTTCATCTGAGAAGTATCTTTTCATTTCAGATGACCAATTTTGGATTTAAATTTGGAGGGTCTGTTTTTTTTGAGTTCTTTATATATTCTAGATAGTAGTCCTTTGTCTGATGAATAGCTGATAAAAAAATTTTCTCACGCTGTGGGTTGTCTCTTCACTATATTGGTGGTTTCTCATTTTGTGCAAAAGCTCAATAAGAAGAGGAAGAGCTTGAGGGCTGGGGATTTAGCCAGGGATTTAGTGGCACTCTGCCTGCCTCACAAGCACAAGGTCCTCAGTTAGATCCCTGGTTCCCAGGGGGAAAATAAGATGAGGAAGAGCTGTTTCTCTTGGGTTGTGCCATAGCCAGATATTTTTCTGCTTTCTGACTTTGGACAGTATTCTGCTCTTGCATTGCTTTGGAGATTCTCTGTTCTCTTCTCATTGTCTGAAGGTGGTCTCTAGGACTGGAAAGGAATGCTCTTGTGTGTCTTAGCCACAGGATTCCATCCTCCTGGTGGTTTACCTCCTGGAAGAGTCTGGCTGGGTGGTTTTATTTTCTCCCTATACTGGAAAAAAAAAGCCCTTAAGAGATTATATATATATAGTACTCTCCCTCAAGAGTACTATACTGCTTCTAGCCCACCAAAAGCTTCTTCTCCTACACTGATTTTCTTACTTTTATTAAGAGAAGAGGTTATTTGGGTTGGGAATGTAACTCAGTGGTAGAGTGCTTGCCTAACCTGTAAAAAGTCCTAGGTTCATCTTCAGCTCTGAAAAAAAAAGCCACTTGATAGTATCCATGAACATTCTTTTTTTTTAATTAGTCTTGTATTAGTATATGTTTTTGATACAGTATAATAAGTACATTTGTCTTGGGCAATTGATACATATATGTTAGTCATTTTTCCCTTTCCACTCCTTGCTCTCCTATCCCTTGGATATTCTTTGTTTTTGTTCCTGGGTTACAGATGGGGGTGCGTATTTATCTTTCTCCATCATATTCTGACATTATCTGCCAATCTTTGTCCCCAAATTCCACTTTAAAAATCTACACATATCAGGTACAATCTTGTCTCCTATGAACCGTTTAGTAGGTTTTATCTTTTGTATTTCTTCTCCCTTTCCCTATCTTTCTCAGGGCCTCTCAGCCTGAACCCCCAATCAAATTAATTTCTCCACAGCTGGAATTTCAAGAGCTTAGGGGATAATGACACCTCTGACCTTTCTCTCTTTGGAGGACATACAGAAGAGGAGAGAGTTTGGGTCTGAGAATCTACACCACTGGACAAGGCAGCAAAACTTTTAGGAACAATCCCTTCTGAATCTCATTTGGAAATTGAATGTTTGCCAACCTCCTGTTCCTGAGGGATGGTGGGGGATTTAATGATACTCCCAGAAACCTGTAAGAATTAATGGGCTTGGGGGAAGTGCTCTGAGCTCAGTATTGGAACTTGAATAAAATTAAACATTATTATATAAAATTATATATTATATAAATTTAAACACTACTATATTGTAATAAGTTAGCTCTTATTGTTTTAAATATTTGACAACATCATTGCTACTCCGAGCTCACTATCTGGTTCTCATGTGTTTTATTTATGTATTGTTGTTCTGGTTGGTCGCCTGGGCATGGCCATTTCCAGGTTCTAGGCCAAGGAGTCACTTTTTCTTTTGGTTTAGCAATTGGAGATATATGGTTAAGAAGAGTGATAGTTTCTCAGTGAGAAGTGTTAGGTGGATCAGGCTCTTTGTCTTTCATGAACTTTCTTAACAGCTGAACTTTGAGTTCATACCACTTTGAGTTTTCCAACAGTTCTGGGGCTTGAACAATAAAAAACACAAGGAAATGAAAAATGATTGGGAAAACGAATTGGGTTTCTGAAGTTGGCATATAAAGTAGGTGGATTTTATAACGTGTACAGTAGTTTAGCGTACAGTTGGATAGACATTAAAGGTGCGTGAACCTGACTCCTCTCTACCCTAAGATCTCTCCCTCCCATGCTCTCTACAGATCTTTCATTACCTTGAGCAAGGCAAGGTCTTTACAGCCTCACAGTTTCTACCTGCGAGGTTTTCTTGTTCATAATGCCCCAGTTTCTAGAACGCGTGCCAAAACCTCTGTGTCTGGCTGATTTTGCAGTTTTCAATTCAGATGAGACTTTCCTGACAATGCCACTGCCACTGCTATCTAAATCAGTACTCACAAAACCTGCTCTTGTAGCATCATTACTTTTACTTTACTTTTAATTACTTTAAATCATTCTTTTAATCATTAGTTTTACTTTTAATCATAATTTTACTTTTAATCATAATACTTGAACATTTTAAACAATATATTTAAATGTCTTAATTATCTCTCCCAGTTCTTGTTTACATGCTGTAGACGCAATGAATTCTCCTAGAAATAAGTACTCCTTCAAAGCTATACAAGTATCATAAATGAATATTTATATAGGAAATATTTATATGCATGTACACATGTGTACACAAAGATATATTCTATAGAACTACACTGAGTAGTTCTTGATTGAAAAGGCAGCACTTTGTTTTTTTCACTTTCCAAATTTTGTCTTACTAAATGCTTAGTAAAAACTTACCTAGCCTACTGAAAACATGTTTCCCTAACAGTAAATTGAAATTCAAGGCTTTTCTGTTTCACATAAGATACCTAAAAGATAATCTAACAAATTATACTGAAAGTTGTTGGTCCTTTTTAAATTCCAGTGAAATAAGGAAATAAATGTAAAGCACATAGTCACAAGTCATCTTAATTCAGCTAGTGACCTGTAGGACATTAAATAGCCATTTTATATTTTGGGGCTTAGTTTTCTCATTTTGAGGAAAGAAACAGTTTAAATTTTCAAAGCATTGAGTTGTCTTGAAAGACTTTTTAAGTGTAGTAAATCAGTCAAATGAGAGTAACTCACTGTAAAAATCAGTTTTTGTTCCTTTTGTCTCTTTGGTTTACTTGTTAGTTTTGGGGAACACTTGTTCATTAGCAGGAACTTATGTTTTGTTTTGTTTTTTGGTACTGGGGATTGAACTCAGGACCTTGCGCTTGCGAGGCAGGCAGCGGAACCACTGAGCTAAATCCCTGGCCCAAACTTATGATTTTTTGACAGAATGACTTTAGCAAAGATGACTTTTATAGTACGTGATGCTTCAAACCTTCACCCCCAAAGCTTTCATGTCAGGAAGAAGAATGTAAGAATTAGATTATGTTTTGCAGTTTTGTATTTGTCCTGGAGTAATTATGATTCTAAGGATACTACCTATAATAAGACTAATTTATTAGACTTTTTTCCTTTGAATACATCATAACTATGATTTCTTCCTTTCCTAAAGTCTTTCTGGAATCTTCTTTTTAATAATACAAACCATTATTTCAAAATTATGTTGAACTTATTAACTAATTATTTCAACTTGGAACATAGCTAATTATTTCCAAAATTGAGTTATATATAAGCTGTGATGGAAACGAACAGTGAAAGTTTAAAACTTTTTAAAAAGTTTATTACAGTTAAAAATACATTGCCATTCCCCTCAAAATACTCTCCCTTGCTTCAAACACACTCATCCCTTGCTTTAAGCACATTCATCCCATCATTCTTGCCACTGTCTGAAGCAGTTCTGGAAGTCCTCTTTCTTGTCTTTAGTTGCGATGTCATGGCTGCCTGGTTGTCCTGAATCTATTCAAAATGTTTATATTTCATGAGCATTTTGACTTTGGGGAAGAGCCAGAAATCACAGTGCCAGATCCAGTAAAAATGATGGATAACGATACCCTTAATGTTTTTATTCGACAGAAATTGCCAAAAGCAGTTGATCAAGGAGGAGTGATCACAAAATACAGTGAATGCTTAAATGAAAACTTCATTACAGTAAGAGACACTTTGCCATTAATCGCCCTCAAAATACTCAGAATATTTCCTCACCTTGAACAAATTAATCTGATAGTTCTTGACAATGTGTATTTTACTGTAATTTTTAAAAATTTCATCAATTTTTTAATCACCTCTTGTATAGCATCTTGGAGTCAGTCCACAAAGGTTAAGAAAACCAAAGGATCAGTATGACAACAAACAAGATAATCCACTTGCTAACAAGGCATCCACATGCTAAATGATTTTATCCATCAGGCAGAGTGCTTTTTTTTTTTTTGGTACCAGGGATTGAACTTGGGTCTTTGTGCCTGCGAGGCAGACGGCAAAACCACTGAGCTAAATCCCTGGCCCCACAATGCTTTATTTAAATTAGCATATGTACAGGGTCAAGAACCACTTAATATTTTTGCACTAGAGATTAAGAAATGCAAATATTAATGCTTGATATATAATTGTTGCATATAAAATCTATTGTACAGTGAGTATCCAGATTTCATTCTAGTTATGTCACAAGGTGCTTATCACTATATTCTAAGATTCAAAATAAGGTAACCAAACAGAAAGAAAAAGAGCAAGCATGAACAAATGAGCACATTTACAAGTCTGTTTAATTTATCTTCCAAGAATTAATGTGCACAGAAGGGATGATCTCTAATTGCAGGAAAAGTAAATATCAGTTGTTCCTTATTAGGCCAGGTCTTGAAACCTTACAAAGCTACACACTTAATATGCAACCAACATGTTGCATAGCATTAGTTTAGTTTTTGAACTCCCCACTTTCCAGTGTATCCTTTATTTCTAGCTATCTATGGACTCTTCAACTAAAACAATTTATTTCTACAGATACGTACTTTTTTTCTTTTTTTTGGTATCAGAGATCGAACTCAGGACCTTGCACTTGTGAGGCAGGCACTGGAATCACTGAGCTAAATCCCCAACCCAATATGTACTTTTTAAACTAAAACAAAAATGTTTTTAATCTTTATGTAGATTTGCAATCTAGAAACTGCTGCATAGACATGAAATGGGTAGAGATTTATAGAAAAGAAAGTAGTGACTAGTGGGGAAACTGAGATGGGATCTAAGTTCCAAAGGTAGAAAGAAGTATTGGGAAGAATTTTATTTATTTATTTTTTCCCCCTTCAGTATCAGAGATCAAACTCAGAACCTTGTAGTTGCCAGGCAGGCACGGCACCACTGAGCTACATCCCTGGTCCTTATTTTATTTGCTAGTCATGTTTCTGTAAAAATAATCAAATACAAAGTTTCACTTGGATTGTCAAGGATGCTACAACCACAACAACCTGGAGACTGACTTCTCTGGTATGCCAAAAAAAAAAAAAAAAAAAACCAACAAAAAAAAGCCTTAATGTTCAGCCTTCTCAAATTTAAAATTGAGCAAAACAAGTCCTGAATGCCAGAGATAATTATGGTAGTATGATCTGAAAGGGAAGTTTTCTTCTTTTCCTACTGATCCCTTCCTGGAGCATAACTCAGAGGCTGGGAAGGGGACCCCATGCTTCTTTACCCCTGTTGGTTGAGAAGGCTGAAATTTTTACCTTGGCTGTTGCTTGGGGTCTTAGGATCATAATGCTTCTTCATGACTTTGTGCATCACTGAACCTTTTCCCACAGGTTTTACAGGATGAGTCCATGATCATAGACTGACACCACCAACTTCTGAATTCCTACTCAGAAGTGCAGCATAGGGAATGGATCAAGTCCAAAAGGTGTAAATGTCAGGATAAGGCAAGGTAGATGAATAAGGACTATCCCATGAATGTGACTGTATAATTCTACACAGTCATATTTGACCTTTAAATTTGTAGACATTGTGCTAATATCAGATCTTCTCTTTCAGAACTGTTTAAATCGTGACAAGTACAGTAAATAATTTACTTCAGGAATTTGTTTTTCTTCTCTACAATGCTAAATCAGTTTACTTGTTATTTGTCACAGTACTTTATTCACTTTCTAAAATTGTATATATGCTCTGTGTTGTTTATGCTCCAAAATCTGATGCTTAGTTAACTATTTCAAATATAGAAAAGATGCACACAAATATCCAGTCACTAACATTTTCAATAATAAAAAAAACCTAGGAGAAAGCTACATATTAGGCTGTACTGTTTTGATCTGGAACACTCTTCTGTTTTCACTATGCATTTTGGTATTAAATTTATTATTTGTTAATTATGGCTTTAATAATCCTTAATCCTTATTTTATGAAGTATAATCTATGAAATCATACAGAAATGATAAATTATATTAAATTTAGCACATACTCTGTTTTCTCTTCAGATTGTATAAATCTTTCACCTTATTAAATTTAGCAATTCATAGTAATAAAATCCTTAGATACATATCATAATATATATTTTATAATATACACATTGGTATAGGCATACATAAATGCCAATCATAATGTTTCACCTTTTTCCTCAGAAAGTTCTAAATAAAATAGATATTTATGAAATATGTAAAATGATTTTGGTTTATTAAAACTTTCAGGTTCTGAAGAGAAAGATACTATGTCAGAGAATTATCAAAAAACAAATACTGTTTTTCTGAAATTTTTATTCTTTTTTATTGAGATAATCAAAATAAATTCATCTCGCTACAACGTTGGGCATGATCAGGACCAAATCCCTTTTCCCACGAGAAGTTTGGGATCATCTGTTCATTGTTCTTTTGACTTAATTTATTTTTAAAACTCCTAAAGCTTTTGAAGTGTGAATTTATAAATAATGAAGGTGTTTTATATGATAGAAACTTTAATGTGATTTGACCTGAGTTAGAAAAATAAAACATAAGAAATAGATGTTTTGCATATAGGAAAGGGATCTAGAGATGAAGAGAGGAGGGTGAGAGGAGAGAGGAAGGGGAAGTAAAAAAAAAATTAACTAACCCTAACCCTAAGTACATACCAACATACCAACTCCCCACAATGAATCTCATCATTATGTACTGCAAACGTGTACTTATAAAAAAATGCCTAGAAAATAAAGATCCATTTGCCATGATTATAGTCACATTTTTAACTCTTCAGTTTTTTAGAAAAAATGGTATTCTTGTATATCGTGTATAAATAGGAATAAAGTGTTTCTAAATATGCATAGAATGCATACTAATGTATAGTCACATATATGATGAACTAAAAATAATATATCTTAAATACAATGTGACAGCCATGTGCTTTTTTTAAGCTGTTTTAATTTGCATTTCAAAGTACAGAAATTGATCTATAATTCATGTGTTCTCATCCACTTGAACATCTACCCATTCACCTATTTTCTCTTTGCATGAATTCATTCTGGACTTCCTGAATCTAGGGTCATTGCTCTGGTACACAAACCAGGTATTATGAGTGGTTGATTTCTTGAAGCCTTGTGCTCCTGAAAATGTGTATATGTTTTACATTAGTGAAATAATGGTCCCTGTTAGGAGATGCCAGAATGTGACATGCCAGTTAAGGGTAGAGCTTTAAATCAGACATGAACTATATTTGCTTGAGATCTGATTTGAATCTGATCCTGTTGTTTTGAGCTGAGATTGGTAGTGTAGGCTGCAGGCAGGATTTAAACAGCCAGAGATGGAGGGAGCTAGGCTATTCACCTAGGTGAGAAATAGCAGAGAATAGTTTGGATGGAATGACCTTTGGTATTTCAGATTTGCCATAATTTGGTGAATGTGTAATGTAGAATGTGTAAAGTCAAATTTCTTTGTTACTTGAATTTCCTCAGTTTGTATGGACTATATTCTGATGAAGTGCCTATGAAACTGATCAAATGGGGTATACAGTGCAGCCTTCCTGATAAAATTATGATTAAATAGTCTTACTTGAAAGTTCATAGTAGAGACACATATACAAAATGTTAGACTCAAAATTTGAATAATATTTTTCACATTCATGCAATGATCCATGTCACCATGATTAGGAAACAAATGATTTTCTACTTATAGTTGGTAAATTATAAGGAAATAGAGAAGAAAATGTAAGTGTAGTATCTACTGGACCATAAACTTCTATAAAGGCAGAGCCACTGTAGCCCCATGACACAAGTGATGGTTCAGGTGGAAAAATGTATCACTGGAGAGACGTGTGAATAGAGAACTTAAGTTGAACCATTTGTGCATGTATTAAGATTATTGAAGTCCTAATTATTATCAGATAACAAAGTTTAATGTGTTAGCTTAGTGTAATTAAATATTGTGGGTTTTTAGGTCAGAATAAATTATATGTTGGAAATTTCATATTCAATATTATTAGTGTAGGCTGAGAGTAAGCATAAAGATGTTAGGCATTATTTTAAATATTTTAAAAATTATTCCTCCAACAGTGATTCTAGGTATGTTTAAAATCATCCATAATCCTAGCATAAGCATCACAACATCTAACTGGTTTTACTTATACTTTTCTTCAGAGTCTATATTGCTTTTAAAGCTCCTTTTTTCTAATATCACAAAATAAAAGTAGGGAACTAAACACTCAGAAGCATATTTGAAGAACTAGAAATTTAGCCCCAGTAACTCAGCTGTCTCATTTTACTGAAAAGGGAATTGATTGGAAACAGGATTTTACTGCAGATTAGCTCTGATAATGGGTATGACCAATGTTAAGTGAATTTATTTTGCCTAGTTAAATACTGTTTAAGACCACACAAGTGAAAATTATGTAACACCAGTGCATCTTCCTTTCTAACATAACTTTATTTAAGTGGACATGTTTACTTCTCCTTGAATTGCAGACATGCAAATGGATATTCCACATCCAGGAACAAATTGGCCAACTGCATATACCAGGCAAAATCCACCAGCAACACCACAAGGTAAAATATGTGATTGAGGAAGCAAAGTGATAGTAATCAATGCGTACTCCCAAGATAGAGCAAGAGAAGGGGGAAAAGAGTATGTATCTCCATTTAGTAGCTCTTATTAAAATTGTATTTAAGAAATTTTGACAGCCTCACTATTCCTGGTTTTCTTTTGCATTATATATAAAATTCCTTGGGAGTAATTTTTTTATTGCAGAGAACAATAAAAGTATAAAGCAGAACTAATAGAATCACTACTAAGTTTACATTAGCAAGTGAAATACATGCTGCATATAATTAAACCTCGAAGTACAGATAATGAGAAATATTGTCATCATTTCATTCATCTAGTCTGAAAATTCTGATCATATATGACATGACATTTGGGAGATTTGTCCTTAGCTGTTTTTGAGTCAGGCAGTGTTTACAATTGTGTTTAATGAGAACAAAAGAAAAAATGATAAAATTGCTTAAACCTGGAAGTTGCAATCAATAGAAACAAAGCTACTTTGGAGTAATTCTCATTTTCATTTTGTAACACACATGAAAGCTTATTTTTTATATACATGCTAAGTCATGCTTTGCATCTGTAAGAAAAGTAACTGGGTCATACTACTATGTAGTAGGGAATGCATCTTTGTTTTTCTGAACCAATGCATAAAAGAATTCAGAAATTTTCATTACACATATGCAGTAATCAACATTACTAGACCTTTGGAAATGGCAAAGGTTTTGTTATGCCCAGATTTACAAGTATGCAGGCAAACCATATATTGAAAGAACATTGTGGGGACTTAGGCTCAAAGATGATCTGGTTTAGATAAAAGAGTGTATCCATTTTGGTTTCTTCTCTGAGCATACCAATTTGCTTGGGAGCTGAATAGCCTATTTATTTGTCTTAAAAATCTCCCTGTGAGTTCTAGATCTTATCCAGAAAAGCAACAAGGCTCTAAGGTGGTAGTCCTCAGCCATGGCTACCTTGGGTCTCATGCAGAAACACTTAAAAATACTCATACCAGAGTACCATCCCAGAAAAACTAAATCAGACCTCTGAACTCAACGGCTTAAATTTTTAGTATACCAAATGATGCAAATGGGAAGCCAGGGTTGAGAACCTCTCTTGTAAATTCTTACAGCATTTGTGTTCAGAGAACTATTAGTCTATAATATTTAATCCATCTCATAGCTACCTAAAACCAGGCATATAAAATTAAATTCAAGTATAATTAAACCTGAGAGTTTATTAGAAAAATAGCTTTGTTTTGTTTCCCCAAACCAAGGATACATACAGTACTCAAGATGATGATGATGCTAGCAATAATGACAGCTTAAAATCAAGAGTTCTCTATGCTTTAGGCATTGATCTAAATGTGAAGTTTATGTGGATTTACACATTTCATCTCATAACATATTTAGGAGGTAACTACTGTCAGCTCTACATTTTCTCATAACCAACTACAGAATAAAAATATTTAAAAATTAAAATGCATCTCATTGAACATGTACAGATTTGACATTATTCCCTAAACAATATATTTTTGTAACGGCTATTTAAATAGCATTTATATTTTATTAGGTGTTATAAGAAATCTAGAGATCATTTAAAGTATATTTAATGTAAAAAAGGTGTATGTAGTTCATGTACACCCCAGTGCTCCGAAATTCTAAAAACTTTATAAGATACAGGTGACATCATGGAACTCACCCTTCTAATCAGAATCCTACAAATTTGCCACTTAGAATACAATACAAACTCCTCTCCAAGGGCCTCCAGAGATGAATTGTTTCCTGTTGCTTTAATGACAGCCATTCTTTTTATTTCTCATGATGTCCTTATTTCCAAACGTCTCAGATCATTCCCAAAGTGCAGGTTTTTGTATTTTCTCTTCTTTCTGGCTGGAGGATTTTTCACCATATCTTTATATAAAGCTTTCCATAGTCATCTTTTGATATTCAGGTAAATTGTATGTACTAAAGTAACTGCCTTGAACCCTGATATCTCTGTGTATTTTCCCTATCACATCAATATGAAATCTTTTTCTTTTTATCTTCCGGGAAGCTGACTATAAGCCCAATGAGAACATGTTTCTGCACTAATAGGTTTTTCCCCTAGTTCTACAACACAGCCAGTGACATGTTATTATCTATTACTATTCACCGTAGAAGGAATAAATTATAAAAGCTATATTAAAAGCATTAGTGTGAAGTTCTGTCTGTTATTAGACCTGTTTTTTAATGGGATGTGAATTTTTCCAGAAATGTTTCCATGTAAAAAAAAAATACTTATAATTGCCTATTCTAAATAGTTTGTTTAGGTTTTTGTGTGTATTTTTGTTTGTTTGTTTGTTTTTGTTTTGGATCTTACTGTAGAGTTCAGCCTAGCCTTGAACTCACTAGCCCAGGCTGGCCTCGAACTCATGGCAATCCTTCATCTTCAGGCTCCTGAATATTGAGATTACAGTCATTTGCCACCACACCCAGTGGTTTTTAATGTTGAAATATTGTAGAACACATCACGTAGAATATATTCCATACTTATGGAATTAATACTGTTCAAATAAGTTTATGACACTTCTTTGTAATCACACATTCTCAGAGATTACAAAGTATGCAGGTTAAATTTTTCTCTAATCAAGTATTTAAAAGAATTTTGCCTCTTAAAATTTTTGCCATCCTTATTTCTCAAACTGTACTTTTCAGAGAACAAAGGCTGTTAAATTGTGAAATTTAAATTTCCAACCCAAATACCATATATATATATATTTATATTTATGGATGCAGGCATAGGAAAAGAATATTCCACAGATTAGAAGTTCAGGCAAATTTAAGTGCAGTGGTACACACCTATAATCTTAGGAATTTAGGAGGCAGAGGCAGGAGGATAGCAAGTTCAAGGCCAACTGGGGCAACTTAATGAGAACTTGTCTCACAATAAAAACTAAAAGTGCCTGAGGCTTTAGCTCAGAGAGATCTTGGGTTCCATCCCTAATACTAAGAGGCAAAAAGCACCCCAGGCAAACTATGACCCAGATATGTAACTTGAACGTGTTGAAAGAAATGGCATTCCTTTATTTCTACATCGGGGTTTCTCAGCAGTGATATAATATCACTGGAGCTGGAGAATTTTTCTTTCCAGGGCACTGTTTTGGGCATTTTAGGATGTTTAGCAACATCTCTGGCTTCTACTCACCAGATGAGAGAACCACCCTTCTCTGTAGTTCTGACAGAAATGTCTCCAGGTTTTCCCAAAACCCCCCTGGGGAGAAAGGCGAAAATTATTTCCAGTTTTGCACATATAGGACATATCATTTGTTAGAATTCTAAAATTATCACCAGGAGTGGTGGTCCTTGAAATACTGGTCAAACCCTTTAGTTTGGATCTTCTACTCAGTGGTATTTCTCTTTTCTCTGAAGGCATGCCTATATGTTTATATGACTGACTCCAGGTCATAGTTGACTTTCTTACCCTTTTTCCATCTGAGTTTTGAATGCAAAAGCTATAGGCTACCTCTATTCCACAGCTACCACCCACAAAATAGAAGTGGCTATGCAACCACAGTGGATTGAAAGATAAAAAACACATTAAACATCACAGATACAGGTATTGTAAGTGGTCAGTTTGTAGTACCTGGGGTAATTAAAAATGTGTTGATTCCACTTTTCTGTGAAGTTATAAATTATTTCACTTGTTCTTCTTTTAGGACCGGCACATTCTGGCTATCCGAAGTCCGAGGGTGCAAATCCAGGTTCCCCAACTGACTACGCAGTCCCACCACCTGACTACCCGGGTGCTGTCCAACCCAAGTTTCCTATACAAAATCAACAAGGATGTAATCATCAGCCAGGTGGACCCACAGGGGTATCATGGATGCCAGCACCATCAGTTCCATTGAACTGTCCACCTGGACTGGAATATTTAAGTCAGGTAATTGCAAATGCATGAAATACTCAAGACACAATTGTGCTTCCAGTTCATGTAACTAGATTACCAAAGGGAGTAACTTGCCAAAGTCTGAAATGACAAAACATTATCTGCTGACAGTTTACTCTGATTCTTCTAGGTCAGATTCACTTTTTAAGCAAAATGCAAATATCTGTGGTATCTGTGTCTTCTATAGTCTTGAATTCAACCTTTAATAATAGGAAATATTCAATAAACAATCTTTGTCCTGAGCATAACATATTAGCTCACTTAATTCTTAGAGAAACAACTATGGCATATAGGTGCTACAATTATCACCATTTTTCAGAAGAGGAACTACTCAGAAGTTATATACCTTGCTCAGGGTCAGAATGCTAAAATAGTGGGATTGGTGTTTCAATCTGGAGTTTGGTTCTGAACCCAGTACACTTTCATCCCCAAACTGAATACTTTCCTGGAAACTTGAAAGAAATTTTAAATAAAGATTTTTGCTTAGTTTCAATAAGTGGTATGAAACAAAAAGTTCATATTCTGTGTGTAATATGACACATATTTTTACAACTAATAAAACTGCACATTTATAATGGCCATTTTGCTCTTTGCAAGATCCAATTTTATAAATACCAACAATAAGAGGGAAAAGGCCAATATTTTGTGCTGCCAGCAGGATAGTGAATTTTGACATATGAGGTTTAACATTTATTTTGTGTAAGAAATCAAGTAGATAAAATAAGAATAAAAGCTCTGTGTCTCCAGCTTATAAGCATATAAACAAATGTTGTTGTAGTATAAAATCAGTATTTAGTAAATCAGCACATTCTGCTAACTTCATTTTCCATACTGCATTCAACCATGATATAAGAAATTTAGTCAGAAACAAATTCTTTAAGAAATACTCTGAAAAAAAAAGAAATGAAATACCCATTTTCAAAATCAAGAATCCATAAAATATATACAGGAAATTATCACCTATCATAACTGATTGTATCAAGTACACTAATAATTTGAAAGTTGTAGGGAAATGCTTAAATGAATAAAACAATGATCATTTCTTGAGCTTCTTTTATAAAGAAAATTGTTTTAGGACTTCCAGTGTAAAGTTTTATTTGACCTGAAGTTTCTCACATTAAGTGATAAATTTCCACAAATCTTTTACCAATTAAAAAAATAAAATTTAGTTTTACCCTAAAGCCTAATGTAAATTTAAAAATTGATAATGTTAAACTTTAATAATTAATGATATGCTCAAATTTTCTTTTTCTTATAATAGATAGATCAGATTCTGATTCACCAGCAAGTTGAACTTCTGGAAGGTATGCACTCACTATATTGATTGTATTTCTAGAAAGAGGAGAGGTTTTTGCAATCAAAGGCAAATCCACCATCACAAATATGACACTGGCAGTCCCATGGGGCGGTCAACCAGGTTATTTGTGTCTATCTTCACAAAAATTTCTTCTGACAAGAATAGCCTCTCCTTCTTTCCCTTTGCCCATTTCCTCTATCTAGATCACTTCTAAATGCATTTCATTTTCCTCTTTTTTGTGTTTTTTGAAGTATCTTCCAAGCTTGTATCGCTAAATGTTATATTATGAGAGATTCACTATTCTTACAAAATTGTGATGATGAATTCCTCTTTTATGTTTTTAGTCTTAACAGGCTTTGAAACTAATAACAAATTTGAAATTAAGAACAGCCTTGGACAGAGGGTTTACTTTGCAGTGGAAGATACTGATTGCTGCACTCGAAATTGCTGTGGACCATGTAGGCCTTTTACCTTGAAGATTCTTGATAATTTGGGCCGAGAAGTCATAACTATGGAGAGACCACTAAGGTGTGATGACTGTTGTTTCCCCTGCTGCCTACAGGAGGTCAGTATGTAATTACCATGGCTGTTTGTAAAGTACTTCAGGAAGAATTTTAACCCCTTCATTTCCTGTAGACATTATGATTATTATTACATTCACATATATTCTTCTGGTATTACAGATTGAAATTCAAGCTCCTCCTGGTGTTCCAATAGGGTACATTACTCAGAAGTGGCACCCATGTCTGCCAAAGTATGCTGTTCAGAATGAGAGGAGAGAGGATGTACTAAAAATCACTGGTCCATGTGTTGCATGCAGATGCTGTACAGATATTGATTTTAAGGTTAGAAGTGTCATAGAGTTTATAGATTTGCTTTCCTAATGTAAAAAGAATATAATTTTGGGCCGGAGATTTAGCTCAGTGGTTCCGCCGCCTGCCTTCCAAGCGGAAGGACCCGAGTTCGATCCCCAGTACCAAAAAAAAAGAATATAATTTTATAACATTTTACAAATATATCAAAGAAATATTTTGTACTGATATCCAGAAGAGAAATAATGTGCTTACATCTTTAATTTCACTCACTATTCTGATTAAGTCAGTGTTGATTATGCTAAATGGAAAAAAGCTATGTAGTCAAATAAAAATTAAATTGTGCAACCCTTAAAACATGGTGGTTTCTCTATAGTGGCACTACATATTATTCATTTTATTTATTTATTTATTTATTTATTTATTTTGGTATGGGGATTGAACTTCCAAATTCAAGGCAGGCGGCAGAACCAGTGAGTTAAATCTCCAGCCCCCATATTATTCATTTTAAAGAGAACTTTATCCTTGTCCTCTAAATTTGATTGTCCAAGCCCATGAATTCTTTTTAATCCACCATATAGGCTATCTTGTGCTCTCGGCCATATTCAGAAAATCTGACTTCCTCCAAAAAGCCAAATTAGGCAAATATTGTTTTAATAAGGTTAATACAGAAGAACTTTACTTTCTTCAGTTTTGCTTTCCATAATTTCAGTTACCTCCAGTCAACTGTGGTCTGAAAATATTAAATGGAGAATCCAGAAATTATGTTTTAATTGCATGCCATTCTGAGTAATATGATGGGTCATGTGCCCCATCCTGTTCCATCCAGCCTGGACACGAGTGATCCTTTTTTCCAGCATAATTCACCATCTGTACTGCCTTCTCATTAGGTCAGTCACTTAGTAGCCTTTTTGGTAATAGTTGATTATCAGATCAACTATACTGGTAGCTGCCTCGCTGCTAGCGTTCAAGTAGCCCTAATGAAGTATCCTAATGGACTGCACAATGCCTCCTTCAGAAACGTTCCTTCATCCCCACACACAGGCACTGTATCATCTCACAGCATCAGAAAAATGATGACAACAGTAAGATATTTTGAAAGAGAAAGAGGGAGAACAAATTCATATAACTTATTACAGTATGCTCATATTTTTATATTTTTTCCACTTAATGATTAGTAATTATAGCTAAGCTTTCTGTGCCTACTTTATAAATTAAACCTTATTATAGGTATGCATGAATAGGAACAAATATAGGGTTTAGTTTTGGACTGCCCTAGAGCCCCACAGATAAGGAGGAACTACTTACTGTATAACACATTGTTCCCCAATTATGCTTCATTGTCATCTCCGCTACAAACCATTAGGAGGATAATAAAACTCCTGTCACATTTCTGTTTTGAGAGAAGCACAGAGTTTACATGGACTGCAAAAACTGTCATTTTTAGACTTTCAGCAATTCATGTTCCCTTTCTGATGTGGCTGGAGATGAGCTTTCCGTCGTGTTTAAATTTGCAGCCCACGTAAACTCTTTGCTTCTCAAAATTACATCAAAGAAATACTTTGTTTTTCTTCTCTGCTTGTATTTTGTTTGGGGTTAATTAAAATAATTTATTATTTTTGTCTTAATACAAAATAGATAATAAATCATTAAAATTGCTTTCATATAATTTATCTTTATTGTAAAACAATTTTTCATATACCTAAAAATATATCCAGGAACCAACGAATATCTAGGGTTACCAGTCATAGTTACATAGAGGTATAATTTAGTACAGTGTTGGTTTAAATTTACTGCAACTTTGGAAGTAGCTTTGCTATGAATTGTCTAGAAAATCCTTAAGACTTTACTTTTTGCAATGTAGATTAAATCTCTTGATGAAGAATCTGTAGTTGGCAAAATTACCAAGCACTGGAGTGGGTTTTTGAGAGAGGCATTCACAGACGCTGACAACTTTGGAATCCAGTTCCCTTTGGACCTTGATGTGAAAATAAAAGCTGCGCTGCTTGGTGCATGTTTTCTCATTGTAAGTCTGTTTTTTCAAATCTTGGTTAAGGTCTAGTCAGGTCAGAAGAGGAATGGAACAAGCTGGGGCACAGAACAGTTTAGGAAGAAAGAACTGATGAGCCTGAGCCAAAATGTTCTGTTTATAATGTGCCCTACCTCTAATATGGCTGTCATTATCCTGAAAAACGCTGTATATGGAACCCCTACCATGTCAGTAGAGAAGTTGTATTGCTAGAGAAGGGCTACAAAAAGTTCAGGCAGAAAGAATGAAAGAGAAAGATTTCAGGAGTGTATAAAAATGCTATTTAGGGAAATTGCCAGGGAGTTAATAAATTCATACAGATATCAACAGATAAATATAGAACTGAGTAACTATTAAATTAGATGAAGGCAGAATTTATATAGCAACAGACTTTTCTGAGATTTACATATTAAATTTAACTTTTCTTGTTTAACAGATGTTATTATATGTGACCTGTTCTCTTAGCTTTCTGTGTATGAGAATTGTTATTTTTTTCTGACTACTCACTTTTCTGTTTTTATGTTTTATCCAGGACTTCATGTTTTTTGAAGAAATTAAGTGAAAATAGGAAACAAAATCGAGAGCATGGTAGTGGAATGATGAAAGTATCTTCAAAAAAATTGAAATCTATTGTTGAGACTATGTAAAAGAAAACTCAATGATTGTCCTTTCTTTACGGAAATCACTCATATATGTAAGAATAAAGCCATGATGGCTTTAACTTCAGTTGTATAGTTTTGCTTTTTCAGATTATAGAGTTTATTTTCTACATCACATGTTATGGTTTAGATCTCAAATGTCCCAAAGCGTCATGCACTTATAGGGGCTTTTGAGGGTGTTATGGGGACTTACAGCTGACTTGCTGTGGGGTCTGGTCAGAGGAGGTGCGTCACTGGGGTATGTCCTGTTGATGCCCCTCCCTACCCCCTTCTCTTCTCTCTCTGCTTCCTGGCTGCCATGCCATGAGCAGTTCTTGTCTGCCTTCCTGCCTTGGAGCCGGCTAATTTTGGATTGAAATATAAGCCAAAATAAACCTGTCCTTTAAATTGTAGATCTTGGGTACTTTGTCCCAGCAATAAGGGAAGCACCTAAGACATCATTGCTTTATATATTTCTTACACATTTTAAAATATTCACTGCAGATTATGGGGAAAAGGACAGAGGAGATTTTACATTTAGAAATGACACCTTCTACAAAAAGCTGTTTTGAATGGCAATCTGATTGATGTTGCATTTTTATATCAAAATTAAAGCCTTACTAAAGTTAAATTAAGTATAAAAATAAATTATCCTACTAAATCTTCTTACAACTTATGCAAAAGACCTAATGTGGACTGGTGGTATGGCTCAGTGGTATGGTGGATGCCATGGGACACAATGGCAGACCCTCAGTTCTATTCCTAGTGCCACAAAAGAAAAAAATTTTTTTTCCAGTACTGGGCATCGAACTCAGGACCTTGTGCTTGCAAGGGGGGTGTAGTGCCACTGAGCTTAATCCCCGGCCCTAGAAAAAAATTTTTTAAATCTTCTAATGTTATTTTGTAAATACTGTCAATTCAAAAAGTTAAACCAACTTTTTTTTTGGCCATTATTGTCAAATACTATTCAATATGGATATTATTTAGAAAAATAAAGTGGGTTTTTTCTTTCCATTTAGGAAAGTCATATTTAAATACTTCAACAAATCTATAATTTTTATACAGATAGGACAATAACCAATTTCAAATGATTGACATGATCCTCATTTTAAAGGCTTTCTCAAACTATTACTGATATAATTTTTGGAGTTATTATTTATACCTGAAATATTTAACTCTTGTATTTTAACAATCCCAGGACATGGTAATAATTATAATCAAGTGTTAATAAATGAAACATTTGTTCAGATTATAAACTTCAACAATTGTCAGTTGGGTCATAACAATCAAATATCTGAAATAACTTGATGTATTTTTGGCATTCTTGATTTTCACTTTTAATCAAAATGTCAATCAATTCAGGTGGTCTCCTGAATTCTCAGATGAAAACACATTTTACTCCCATTCAGTGTCTCCTTTAACAAGAGCACAGGCATACGGTGACTTGAAATAAAATCTCTACCAGTGCTACAAACTAGGAATTTGCTCTATCATATATTAAAGGAACTTTGTGATATGTCTGGTATGGAAGATTGGATTGAGAAAGGAAATGAACAATCCATAATCTCCCTCATGCTAAGGCAAAATGGGATTAGGAAATTCTTTGGGATACTCCCTTTCATCCTCAGCAGAATTCCACCACAGCCACTCTCCTCACTGTAAGTGTGAGTGCCAGCAAAACTGTACACCACCAGTATCTCCAGAAGGTAGTTAAGGAGAACACTGATAGGGCAGGGAAACTGCAGAAGAAGCAGAGTCTTGTGACCTCCCAGCAGATTGAAAAACTGAACAGGTGCCACATTCCAAAGATGAAATGGAACCATGGAACTCACCTCTTGTTTATTCTGGGGTAAGAAACATGCCAAGTAAAAGAGATACTTGCATAACTGGATCCCAAGTCATTAGTTGTGCCAGTTTGAAGAGAGGCATTCCAAACTGGCTAGAACGTGGCAAAACCAACCCAAAATAAGTCTTAGAAGTAAAGACATCTCTGTGAAAACTTTTCATTTTCATTTCTTTCCTCCATGTATAATTCTGAGTTTTTGGTTAAGTAGAACAAAATGCCAGCTAATCTGTATAGTTCCTTCTTTAGCTCTACAAAGATTTGAGCAGAGACCCACATAGTATCAGAACCCACTTACCTTCCAATATTAGACAAACTTCTCATGCAGTACTCACATAGAGAAAAATTATCAAATATAAAAAATTCGCAGTTTGATGGACACGAGCAACAATTAAATGAGTTAATTTCTAACTTCAAAGAGATTTCTGGAAATGTTCATATTTGTTTCTACTGGGTAGTTACAACAATGCATGAGAAAGTCTCCCTACTAAGGTTGGAGAAAAGATGTGATGGGTGTGAATCAAGCTGTTCGAAGTCTTGAGAAGAAAACTGGGTGTAGGTGGTCAGTGGGTAAGGGGTGAGAATGGAGAGGAAGGGAGAGGTAAAGAACAAAGGTACCAGTCTGTCATGAGCACTTGAAAGCAGCTGAGATGCGGAGAAGAACAAAAAGGAAATGGAGAGACCACTGGGACAGGAAAAAGCATTAGGAGCAGTAGACTAAATTGGCTAGAAAATCACTGCCTGGTTTCAGACATCCCATTAATTTGCTCTCTCTGCAGCCCGGGTATTAAGAGTTTCAGCTACAACTACAGTTTTTTTTTTTTGATACTGGAATTGAACTCGGGACCTTGCACTTGCCAGGCAGTCACTGTGCTGCTGAGTTACATCCTCAGACCTACAATTTTAAATGGTAGGGACTCAATAAAGAAATTTTGCCATCATTTGAGGAAAATATAATTTAAAATGCTTCAGGGCATGGTTAAGTATTCTCTCTCTTTTTTTCCTTTGGTACTGAGGATTGAACTCAGAACCTTGCAAGGAAGGTGCAGTGCCACTGAGCTAAATCCCCAGCCCAAAAGACTAACAAGACCAGTGCAGGGATTTCTAGGTGGCAGGAATAGAGCATTGCTCTTTCGGCTTTTTTGTTTGTTTGTTTGTTTGTTTGTTTGGGGGGGGGTGGTACTGGGGATCACACTCAGGACCTTGCACTTTTGAGGCAGGCGGCGGTACCACTGAGCTAAATCCCCGGCAAATGAAGTATTCTTGATAGGCACAGTGCCAGAGTGGTCAGAGGTTGCCTCCAACTGCTGCCCTGTCCCTGTCCACCACAGCCTGCCTCCTGACTTTCCAGAATGTTCCTGCACCTATCCCTGCCTCCTTCAAGCTGTGTCTTTCTGTACCCTAATTTCCTCATCTGTCAGTACTGTATTTATTACAGGGGTTCTGGGGTGCTGTGGGCTCCTTCTAGAGATGCTAGGTTCTTGTTGTCCTGAACAAAGAGTTGGTCAAGACAAGTGAAAAAGCTAGCAAGGATTTACACTTATTAAAGGTATTGAAGGTAGTAAATGAAATATGCTCTGCAGAGTGAGTGCGGGTCCATTAAAAATAGGAAAAGAAGAACGCTATCTAGAGTGCAGAGTGGGTCACTAAAAGCTTACCACAGCCAGGAGGTTAATGGCTGCTGTCTTTTGTATCTCCCTTCCTCAGGCTGTTCTATCAAAAACTTGCTTGATTTCTCAAGAAAAAATCAAAGATGCCACTTTCTGGTTGGTCCAGGGTGCAGGGCTTCAAGAACGATTTTTCTGCACATGTGCCCTGGATTTCCGTGACTGAGAGCACATGCTCACTTGCCCCCAACTTTGCCACCCCCTAATCTCCTGCCTCATAGTTGTCAATTGATAATAGTAACAAACTTAAACCATTGTATGGATTTTTATCTAATTTAGGTCCAGAGAACAATAGAAAACGTAAAGGACTGTGCATTGATAATGTTCAATGCTTTTTAATTACAAGGGAGTGGAAAATTTTGGCTAAATTGGATTGTTGTATTGTGTCTTTTAATGGCATGTAAAATTCATTCTGAACCCTAAGATTAGTACTAATTTTCCCCTTGGGAGAGACAGGATGTCTTCACATAAGATGGCAAACTGAGAGAAGATTCTCATCTCACAGAAGACTACAACAGCATGCGAATACAATGGCAATGACTTTCTTTCTTTCGCTTCAAAACTTCAAACTGTGATGAGCCATGAAAGGAAGTGAGGAAAATCTGGAGCATGAGACCAGAATTAAATTTAACTGGACAATACAGAGTTTGGACTCAAAGCTCTAAATTAATAAGCAGGGAGGGTCATTAGATGTTTATCTACAGAGTTAATTGGCCATCGCCACAGTACTCTGAATTTAACCTCCTCACATTACACATTCCACTTCAGGTTCAATATAATTTTCATGTTTATATAGTCAAACGTGTTACTTGTGTCAAAAAATATTAGCTTAAAATTTTTTCCAAGTTCGTACCTACCTAAATTTGTAAAATTGAAGCTCAATGTCAGCAACTTGTTTCTGCCTGTGGATTCTGAAGTTCTATCACTAGCATATTAAAGTTATTCTGTCTGGACTATTTCATTTTACAATAGAAGTTGATCTTGAGAATCAGTTGCTAGGAAACATTTTAACTTTAGTCAAGCATTATGAGTATACTGCAGCCATCTAGAAATAACCCAAAGAAATTTCCTCTTCCATCACCTTGGCAAAGTAAATTGTATCTTATTCTACTATGTACCTAATGTCTCAGTTCTTAATCCCATAACAATGTACTTTAGATTGGGTGGCTTTTAGAGAATAGAAATTGAGTTCTATAATTTTGAAGCTTGAAGTCCAAGATCAGGCCACTAACAGTTTCAGTGTCTAGTGGGGGCTTAGTCTCCACTCTGATGATGAAGGTGGAAACTGTGAGGACCCCAGACAGGCTACTCTTAATATGAAGATAGGAACAAAATTGGCTTTTAACACCTGTGGCTCAGCAAGTGACTCCTATCCATCTCGAGAGCCCAGAATAGAAGTTTGTTCTTTTCTATATACCTCTTTTCACATGTACAAGGCTTACTTTCATTGTAGTTTCCCTGAGAATATAGGAAGCAGAGTTTACGCAAAGCACAGAAGCAGGTGTGGTGGTGGGGAGAGCAGAGAGTTCTGGCAGGACTTTCTGAGTCCCATTCTGCTCCTTTGGTGACAGAAGCTGT